GTTAATATGCATAATCTAATTTGCACCTTGGTAATCCTCCCTTGAATTTCACAACACCCTTTCATCCCATTTGGCTGAGGAAGAAACTGAAATTAAAAGTTAAACCTTGCCTTAGCTGGTTTGGCCCAGTGGATAGAGCATTGGCCTGAGGACTGAAGGGTTCCAGGTTCAATTCTGGTCAAGGGCACATACCCAGGTTGCAGGCTCAATCCCCGGTGGGGGGTGTGCAGGTGGCCGCTGATCAATAATTCTCTTTCATCATTGATGTTTCTATTTCCCTCACCCTTCCTCTCTGAAATCAATACAAATATATTAAAATAATGCTAATAAAGGTAAAATCTTTGCTTTCTTTCCAACTTGGGCCTGGCATAGTGGCTCCCACAAAGAAGGGTGGAGAGAAGAAGGGCCTTTCTGCCATCAAGGAGGTAGTGACCAGAGAACGCACCATCAACATCACAAGCACATCTGTGCAGTGGGTTTCAAGCAATACATGAAATATATCTGTATGTGGGTGTGAAAAACAAAAACAAAACCTGTAGATATATTTTTTGTAAAAAGAAAATTATAGGGAGCATTTGATATCTTGATTCCCAGCAATAGTCATCATTTCGGGCTCAAATAAATGCTTATAATTTTATTTATTTATTTTGTTAATCCTCACCCACAAATTTTTTTCCATTGAATTTTAGGGAAAGTGGAAAAGAGAGGGAAAGACGGAGAGAAACACTGACCTAAGAGCAACAGTGGTTCCTCCTGCATGAGCCCAGACAAGGGCCCGGGTCGGGGAAGAGCCTGCAACCAAAGTATGTGGCCTTGTATGGAGTTCAACTCAGACCCTTTGGTCAGCAGATCAACGGGGTATCCACTGAGCCAAACTGGCTAGAGTTCTTATGATTATTTTTTTAAAGGAAAGTGTAGAACACAGCACATAGTTGTCTCATATTGTATTATGGAACAATGCTATGTAATAAAAGGCTAATATGCAAATAGACCCAATGGCAGAACAACCAAACAACTGAACAACCGGTCGCTATGACATGCACTGACCACCAGGGGGCGGGCACGGAACATGGTGGGCATTGGCCACGGTGGCATGGTGGAGCGGGGGCGCCAGACCATGGTGGGGTGCTGATCACTGTCATCAAGACAAGTGGTTACTGAAAATTCTTTGCCACTGTGCACCACAGTCCCACTGGGCGCTCACACCCACTGCCAGCGCAGGCAACACTCACACCCACAGCTGGAACTGAAGCCGCAGCTCGCAGCCGCTGCCTGCGGCCAGCGCCTATCCTAATTGCTCAGTGCCCTTAGTGGGTGCAAGTGGCAACTGCTGGCCTCAATTGCCCCTAAAAGCTTCTCCACCTCCCCTTGCTCCTGAGTGGCGACTGGGGAAGCAGTAACCGCTCAAAACTGCTATCAGACTGTTCCAGCTGGGCCAGGGCTTTCATCACACGGTGGGGCTGCTGGCAGGCAGGGGACAAGGGGCCAGGTGGGCCGGGGCGTGGAGAATGGGCCAAGACCCGCCCCTGTGCCCACTGATGTCTCACAGCCCACAGCTCCTTTCAATGTGCACGAATTCATGTGCTGGGCCCCTAGTTAATATATAATCTGCGTCTATACTTGTGTGTTGTGTATGATTAGGATGTTTTTGGATGGATACAGAAGACACTTAAGGATGGTCAGGCAGGAAAAGGTATAAGGAGGTTGGGTGACCTCTCTCCATGATGAGAGAGCAATTTGCTTTTCAGTGTGTCCTACTTAACAAATGGTTTTTACTAAATTTATCTATATTGTTCTAATTTTTAAAATGTTTCCCAACAAATAAACCTAAATGATGTTCATTGGAAAATAGCTATTATCCAGGTATTAGTTTTACTCACTAAGGAAAACATTTATTCTACTCCCTGTTTGGACACAGCCATTCCTGTGGAGGAAGTCCTCAAGCCACATTATCTCTGGAAGGTCAGTTCTCTCATCATGGGGACTCCGACATGATCTATGCATCCAGGCTTCTGGCTCAGGGCCTCATATCTAGTGAGAGCTCATACAACATTTGCTAGATGGCCCTAGCCAGTTTGGCTCAGTGGGTGGAGCATTGGCCTTGAACTGAATGGTCTGGGATTTGATTCTGGTCATGAGTACATACCTTGGTTGCAGGCTGTGTCCCAGGCCCTGATCAGGGATCCTGAAGGTTACAACCAATGGATGTGTCCCTCACACATCCATGTTTATCTTGGGTTTTGGGCTCTATCCCCAGTGGGGGGCATGCAGGAGGCTGCCGATCCATGATTCTCTTTCAACATTGATATTTCTGTCGGTCTCTCCCTCTCCCTTACTCTCTGAGATAAATGAAATATATTTTTTTAAAAAAGGTAGCTCTGACTCTACCTGTTAACAGAAGTCTCTCCCAATTATGTTTTTTTATGCCATTGTATTTAGACATTAGTTTCAATGATTCATTTTCTAATGAGTCACCTATTTTCAAAATAATAGTGCTTTATATTTCAAACAAATAAATAATATTTTAATTAAAGTAAATATCTTCTTTGTAGGTGAAGTTATTGAACAACTGCTATAGGATTAAGGCAAACTACTGTAAATTCCTATGGTAATATTTTTACCAGTTCTTATGAAAGATTTTCATTCTCCCACTCATCAGTAATGTACATTTCACTGATGTCTAATTGGATTCGGGAATAATGGCGAACAGTAGCTTTTCATCTCACAATACATGCATTCTTCTTCACCCCTTGCAGCCAAGTAGGGCCTTGCAATGACTTTTAGAAAATGGAAAAAGAGAAAAGTGTGTGTCTCTTCCTGGTGTTGGCCTTCAGTGCTCAGGGTGGCCTTCAATGCTCCCTCTTTCTCTAGATTTACTGACCCAGTGCTGTGACAACACATGACTGAGGGAGTTAGATCCCTGGGTGGGTAATAGAGCAGCGCCTGCTGGCCTACACTGCACTTTACAAGAATGAGCACCTGAGATCACCACAGCATAGCATGGCCATTCTGATCAGTGCAGTGGTCCCTTGTACCTCAATAAATGCTCTGAGGAGAAACTTTTCCAGTTATGTAGAGACAAATAGTACAGAGATATGCACAGTAAAACTTTATTTCCAAACATTGTAAACAATACCATACAGGCATACAAACAGAAGCGTGTTCTCAAAGGTTGACAATTTCCCATAAGGTCAAAATGAGCATGTGACCTTGGCAGGTCATACAGTGGTTGTAAAACGTAGGTTTACAGCCCTGGCCACTTGGCTCAGTTCCTTGGAATGTCTTGTCACACAACAAAAAGTGGGCAGGTTTGATTCTCAGGGCACATAGGCTTTGGGTCCAATTCGTGCTCAGGGTGAGTTCAGGAAGCAACTGATGGATGCTTCTCTCTCACATTGATGTTTCTCTTGAAAGGGCGAGGGCTAGGCCCTCCACCTTGCCCCAGGGTAAGGGCTAGGCCCTCCACCTTGCCCCAGGGTAAGGGCTACGTCCTCCATCTTACCTTAGCCACGTGTTTGGCAAGGAGCGTCTTCCCGGAAGTCTAAGACTCTGCTAGCCACACCCAGGAACAAGACATCGACTTGCGCCTGGCCAATCGGCAGAGCACAGTCCTTTCTCCTCCCCTTACTCCAACCCCCCCTATATAACCGGTCTCTAGGCGGGGTTCTCTCTCTCTCAGCCACTTGGTTTGCCGTTGTGTCGGTGAGTCTGGTGGACGGGGAGCCGAGCTAGCTTGAAATACAGATTCTTATGCTTTTGCATCGGATTGACTGGCTCCCTGATGTGGTTTCTTGGGAATCTTGAAATCTGGGCATAACATCTCTCTCTCTGTTTCTCCTTCTCCATATCTCTCTCTCTCTCTCTCTCTCTCTCTCTCTCAGTAAACATCATCAGGTGATAATTTTATTTTAAATATTTTTTATTGATTTCAGACAGTAAGAGGGAGAGTTAGGGACATCAACGATGAGAGAGAATCCTTGATAGGCTGCTTCCTACCCACCCCACTCTGTGGATTGAACCCAAAACCTGGGCCTGTGCCCTGACTGGGAATCAAAATGAACCGAGACTTTCTGATTCATAGATCGATGCTCAACCACTGAACCACTCCATCTAGGTGCAGTTGAGAAATTTAAAACAAAGGTATGTTTACAGTTGTTGGCAGGCAAAAGTTTATTCTCTTGTTATTTGTTATTAATTACTGTACATATTTGTAACACTATTGTCAACCTGCTTTTGCTCAGCCCTGCACATGAAATTGTTATAAAACATGAGACACAAAGCAAGACATTTAGAATTCCCAAAAACATTACATGGAAAATAACAAATAGTAAATAGAATATGTTTCTTATGGAAACTTCTGACTTAGGTCAGTCAAATCTACAACACAGCCTCCCTAGAACTCAGCAAATGCAGCACAAATTGCAAGGACACCCTTGCCTAGGGAACCAGGGTATGTTACCACACAAAGCCAGAGGAGGAAGCCTGGCGGTGGGCTTCATATCTGGAAAATCCTGCTCACAATGTCAAAGGTGGGGATCAGCTTGCATAGGCAGGGTGGAAGGCACCCAAAATTGGTTTCAAATGTTCACACTGATGATGACTCCCCACGTATCAGAAGAGTATGACAAAGTATATTACTCACATGGTGACATTTTGGGGGAGAGAAGGGTAGATATTAGAATAGATCCCAGAAGGACTTAGAGCACAGGGAAAAGGGACTAGCTTGTGGTGTTCATGTTGGTTACTGGGTGCTGTTGTTGGGAGCCTGCTGACACTGATAGAAACTTGCTTGATTGGAACTTCCCCCCTGCACCCAAGGATGGAGCACCTGGACTTTCTCATTAGCTTTCCCAGGTGTAAGGTCAGGGAGGAGAGAAGGGTGAGTCCTTAACACTTTCAACATTCAAACATCAAAAGAGGAATCAGGATTTTGATACTAAGTATTCCTTTCAATAAAAAGGGAAGAAAATAAGCAAACAAAATTCCCCCCCAGTTGTTCATCACTTCACTCTGATTGTAAGGGATTCTGAAGAAGGTCCAATGGAGAAATAAGGCATAAGTTTTTCTGTAAAGGTATCACGGAATCCATCCAAGAATGACCTGCTATTCAAATTATAAAATGAAACCTCTCCCAACTCATAGTCCAGAAAAACGCCAATCTTATGTTGCCCTGCACAGAAAATGTGGAGTACATTAGTCTTCTGCTGATATTGCCAGCATCCATTGCTTGGGGATGGTGATCTGAGAGTATTTCTTAGGATAGATTCTTTACACACACCTAAGAAACAATCACCTGCACCTCCTATTTCTACCTGCCAAAAATGCCTGCCAGCATCAAATCCCTCAGAACTCAGGACAGCTGGGTAAGAAGTGCGTGCCTGGGGATTAGGAAGGCCATCTGGTCTCCTATAGGTCCCACTTTTTCTATCTCTTGAGATAATGAGACTTGAATGGGCAGTTTCAGGATCCAGTGTCAAATCTGCCTGAAACGTGTGGATCATTTTATGCAGGCCCAAGTAATGTGGGGGGAGACAGCAACTCCTCTTTAATTCACATGAAAACACTGCTGGGGTCTCTATGTTTCCATAGCTGTTGTGGATCCTTTCAATGCCTGTGAGTAAATCCAGGTCTGTCTGCAAACACTTCTCTTCTATTTCATTTAACAGATTGTTTAGCCTGAACATATGGTATGAAATTTGCTTTCCATTTTCAATTAGTTTTTCTTCAACATTATTCTCTTCTATAGGCAGATCGTTATCAATTTCATCTCGCTCTCTTTCCAATAAAAACTTAAGTTCTTTACATTCATAGTCCAATTCCTCCCTCCATTTTTCCATCTTTCTCTTTACTTCCCAAGTATTTGCAACTTGTTTTTTATATACAGTTTCATCACTTTCAAGGCTGTTAGTGAGGACCCCAATGTGCCTTTTGAGCATCCCTCTCTGACTAGCTGCTGCTTCCTCAGTGGGGATCAGGGGCTGATCCGGGGGGTCTAAGGAGCCCTTGCACTGGGGACACAACAGCTCCAGGCTTTTCTCACAGAACAGGGTGAGAACCTCATGGTGCTTCCCACACAGGGGTATTTCTTCCTGCAATTTCCTCTGGCTCCCTGAGGTAGGGATCTGCTTAACAATCTCAGTCATGTGACATAAATGGGTGTTCCTCTCCAAGCTCCTATCAGGACAGTGGTGGAGGCAGACAGGACAGGGAAAGGTGCCCTGTAGACCTTCCCAGCGCTGGTGGATGCAGGAGTGACAAAAGTTGTGCCCACAGGCAATGGTCACTGGGTCTCTCAGGTAATCCAGGCAGATGGGACAGCTGGCCTCTGCTTGGAGCTTGGCCAGGGAAGCTGCAAAGGCCATGGTGCAGTGAAGGTGTCTATCAGAAGAGACTCCCTTCAGTCAGTGTGATCCTCCAGGAGCAAGGAAAAGTGAGAAGCTGAGGTCTGCTCAGGCCTCCCTCTCTGTGCAACTCAGTAGGAGCTTCCAAGAAGAGTTCCAGTGGCCAGCTGATGTATAGTCTTCCTGTCACCTTCTCCTGTAGTTAATGCCAGGTTCCCCAAGTGAAGATCAGCTGTGGACTCTGGTCAAAAACCAAGCAACACACAAGTCATAAGTAGTTTCTGTGGACAAAAAGATATCACCATTAAAAGTTCAGTCAGCATTAACCCTTCCCTCCCCGTATGAACAGCATGGCAGGTAGTCCAAATCAGTTATTATGACAATATTTAAGGAGGAGTTAGAAGTAAAGTCTACCTATTTTGCAACTTAAGGGGAATTAGTCAATCTAAGCAAATTCATCATTGCCCTTGACCATCACAAAAAAGTGATCTTGTGCTGTGGGGAAGAGACAAGGATTTGTAAACCAAGAGCGAGGTCCTGCCTACCAGAGGACGCTTCTTTGTGAAGTCCCCAGGTGAGTCACCGTCACCATGTCGGAACAGGACGCAAAGCCCTCAACAGGGGACTTGGGGAATAAGAAGGAAGAAGGATACATTCAACTCAAAGTCATTGGACAGGACAGCAGTGAGATTCACTTCAAAGTGAAAATGACATCACACCTCAAGAAACCCAAAGAATCACGCTAAGATGGGGAGTTCCAATGAACTGGCTCAGGTTTCTCTTGGAGGGTCAGAGAAATGCTGATAATCACACTTCAAGAGAACTGGGAATGGAGGAGGAAGATGTGAGTGAAGTTTATCAGGAACAACAGCAGGTCATTCAATGGTTTAGATATACTTTTTCTTTTCCCTCAATCTCTTCTTATTGTTAAAAATAGTACCTTAATAATTGGGTGGTCAAAATGGAATTGATAAGTGACCCTCCCCAGCTCCTCTCTTTAAAACCTCTGGCAATTTGAATTCTAGTGCCCATTATTCATTATTGTTGGTTTTCATTGTGCTGAGTTTTGGTGATCAAGCCTCAGCCTCCTTCATATTACCCTCTCCTTTTGAAATATTACATGTGTGCACAGGGAGGCCACCCTCTTCAGTACTATGCATTTTGATGCTTGTGATAAATTAAGACTCTCTTTTAGAAATATATAATGAAAAGTTTACAAGTAAACTCATAAAGATTTCCTGCCCAGAAATGGCAAAAGGTTGGTACGACTATAGGTAGAAGTTGCAAAAGAGGTTACTTATAAAATATGGGTTCTTCATACATGAAGTCATAAGATTTTCTCTCCTATTCTGAATACCTAGAATATTCTATAATTTACTTTTTAAAAAATTAACCATTTGAATTCCATTTCAGTGTTTCTCTGCTCTCTTCTAGCCAAAAATGTCTCTTCTACTTCCTTCCTTAAGCTTCATCCATGTCCCTTCATCTCAGAGCTCTCAGATCCACTTCATCTCCTTTCTTCCTCACAGTTATTTCAAACTGGTCCCCTTTCTCCACTCCAAATCCATCATCTGCTTCCCTGTTCCCACATCCTGTTCCCACCCAACAAATCTCCCATACTGAGATAAATTGCGATTGAGAAAAGACCAAGGCTGGCATTAAAGTGCCATCTGCTTGTAGGTTATGTGGGCTGGATTTCAGGTCTGATCTTAGTCCGCCTGAGTATTGGGGATTGGATTTTTGATTATCGGTTTCTCCAGAGACAGATGCAACCAGGAAAATAGTAACTGCCTCCCTTTCAGTTTGGTGTCAGCATACACATCAATTTAGGGAAACCTCTTGGAACCTCTGGTTTTATTTTTTAAATATATTTTTATTGATTTCAGAGAGAAAAAGAAAAGAGAGAGAGAGAGAGAGAGAAACATCAATGATGAGAGAGAATCATTTATTGGCTCCTTCCTGCAGGCCCAACACTGGGATGGTGTCCATACCCTGGGTATATGCCCAGGACCAGAATCGAACCCGGGCGCTCTATTCACTGAGCCAAACTGACTAGGGCAGAACCTCTGGTTTTAAACAAAAATATTTGACAACAGACACTGAGACATTCTAGAAGAGGATTCTCACAGACAACTTCAGACCAGTACTTCAGGACAATTTCCAGGTGCAGATAGACATTAAGTCACCTCTTAGGTCAGATTGGGATCCTGGTATCTGTATTTTTAGCAAGCATTTTGATGAGGTAGGGCAAGGCTGAGGGACACCAGCAATAATGAAAGCATGTGTTATAAAAAAACCTTAATCCAAGAGATGATTGGCTTGTGAGGTAAAGTCAAGGCCCTGCTAGAGTAGCCACCCAGAAAGCCAAGGGTGGGGAGCAATACCTCAGTGGCTCTCAGTTTGGTCCCACCTCCTGCACCAGTATCCTCCCGACTCCCAGCTTACCTGGGGCCTGCTCCTTGGAGTGAGTCCCTGAAGTGTGTCTCCAAGAAGAGTCTCTGAAGCCAGTTTCCTACCCATTAAATGCTTAGTAATGTGAGCCTGGCCTATATATACCACTAGGAGGGTGAGTCTCTTTAAGACCTCACCCAACAAAGCTCCTCCCTGAAGGTGGGACTTGTGGGCGAGGGTGGGGATAGAAGGATGTTCAAAAGTCTGGTTGATGGGATCTCCTCTTATTCCTGAAGGCTAGGAGGGACTAACCTTGTTAATATGCATAATCTGATATGCACCTTTGTAATCCTCCCTTGAATGTCTCAACACCCCTTATTCCTATTTGGCTGAGGAGTAAACTGAAATGAAAAGTAAATCTTGCCCTAGCGGTTTTGGCTCAGTGGATAGGCAGGGGTGGGCAAACTTTTTGACTCGAGGGCCACAATGGGTTCTTAAACTGGACCGGAGGGCCGGAACAAAAGCATGGATGGAGTGTTTGTGTGAACTAATATAAATTCAAAGTAAACATCATTACATAAAAGGGTACGGTCTTTTTTTTTTTTTTTTTTTTTTAGTTTTATTCATTTCAAACGGCCGGATCCGGCCCGAGGGCTGTAGTTTGCCCACGGCTGGGATAGAGCATCAGCCTGCGGACTGAAGGGTTCCAGGTTTCATTCTGGTCAAGGGCACATACACAGGTTGCAGGCTCAATCACCAGTGGGGGGGCGTGCAGGAGGCAGGTGATCCATGATTCTCTCTCATCATTGATGTTTCTATCTCCCTCTCCCTTCCTCTCTGAAATCAATAAAAATATATTTAGGCCCCTCCTGGGGGCCTGTTTTTCTGGAGCCTCTAAGCCAAAGAGCTTGTTTGGGGGGCGGGGTGACCCCTGGACCAGAGTGGTGTGGGTGCGCTCGGCAACCCCTGGCGTCTGCATGTGAGTCGATTGCCGATTGCCGGGGGGACCAACTGGGGGGCAGGCACTGCAGCTGGATGGAGGCCACAGGGGTCGTGGCTGTTTATACTGGGCGCCCGGGCGTGGCCTGCGCCCACCTGATGTTTACTTGTGTGAGCGGCAGTGGGGTCCCTGCCTGGCGCCCACCGGAAAGCCTGCGGAGTCCCTCAGAGGAGGTGCTAGTTCTGGTCCCACCCCGCATGCCTTATGCCTCGCCCGCAGCCGCCCGGACGGGCCGCCCGGATACACGTGGTGGCCACGGATCCCCGGCCAGAAGGCCCTCCCCGCGCACCCACCCGGGGTCGCCATACACTTTTTTATTCCCAGACGCGTATCCCCTCCAGCCCCTACCTGGGGTCAGCAACTTATTTGTCCGGCTTCGTGGAGGCTCCTCTGGGTTTGTCCTCAGATGGTCTGTGGGTGTCTTTCAGAAAATGGTTATTTTATATGATTTGTCATGGAATTTGTTCTACTAGATCATTCTATCACATGGCAATATATATATATGTATATATTTAAATAATAATAAACGTAAAATCTTTGCTTCCTTTCCAAGTTGGCCCTGGCATAGTGGCTCCCACACAGAAGAGTGGAGAGAAGAAGGGCCTTTCTGCCATCGAGGAGGTAGTGACCAGAGAACGCACCATCAACATCACAAGCACATCTATGGAGTGGGTTTCAAGCAACACATGAAATATATCTGCATTTTGGTGTAAAAAACAAAACAAAGACCTGTAGATATATTTTTTTGTAAATAGCAAATTGTACGGAGCATTTGATATCTTGCTTCCCAGCAATTGTCATCATTTGGGGCTCAAATAAATGCTTATAAATTATTTATTTATTTTTGTTAATCCTCATCCAAGAATTCTTTTCCATTCAATTTTAGGGAAAGTGGAAAAGAGAGGGAAAGACAGAGAGAAACCTTGATGTGAGAGAAACAATAGGTTCCTCCAGCATGAGCCCAGACAAGGGCCCGGGTGGGGGAAGAGCCTGCAACCAAGGTATGTGGCCTTGATTGGAGTTGAACTCGGACCCTTTGGTCCACAGATTGACAGACTATCCACTGATCCAAACTGGCTAGATCTCTTAAAATTATTTTTTTAAGAGGTAAATGTACAACACAACACATAGTAGTCTCACATTATATTATGAAACTATTAAAATCTAATGAGTGTCTATATGCTTATACATTGCAAATGATTAGTATTTTTTCTTTTTTTTTTTTTTTGGTAGATATGATGACTAGACTGTGAGCCAAGGTGTTTTTCCCCAAGGTCACGTCTCCCATCTTGGAAGAATGAGCTACACGGACCAGAAGATTTAAGGAAAATTTATTACAAGCAGACTCACACTCCCTGCAAGGGGAGGGGGACCCAATAGTGCGCTGCCTGGTAAAGCCTTGTAGTCCAGGGGTATATACTGGTATTTGCAACAAGCCTGCTCTATGGCTACCTGTGTCATCACCTGATTGATTCCCTCAATTGTTTTTGCCCAGCAATGGCCCTGAACTTTCCCTGTTTCTATGTGTTCGTTCTCTGTTCCTACGCTGAACTTTTTCTGTTTCTATGTGTTCATACATCGTGGTTACTGCAGGGTTTCCCATGCCTCCTGCTTTGAGTCCACAAACATT